GGTAAGAACTGTTCGTTACAGTGCCCATGCCGCTCTGATACTGACAGTATCACACCTTCAAAAATCCACATCATTGGCCTATGACTTTTTATTTTCAATGTTTCTAGAAGGTTTTATAAATAAGGCCAGGTGATGGAGGAACTTCCAATACAGGAAAGACCCGAGGCAGGGGGCTGTCTTTGAAGCGACACAGGTTGGCACTAGGTGTGACATGGAGACTGCTCCTCTGTGATGATGATCCCTGTCTTGTTGTGGGCTATCATATACACTTTGAGCTTTGCTCTAGTACTGTATATAGTATAGAGCCTAGAGTGAACAATGGGCGAGAGATAAACACAATTCGCATCAGTTATTGTCTTGGCACGAGGTAGATCGTGCCACACTAATACATCAGAACCCTACAATCCAAAGATTCTATGCCATCACACAGAAGGTTACTGCTAATGGCCGAGAGCTCAAGTGTCTCTCAAGCCAGGATTGAAATTTTCCCTAGGAGAGATCTGAACACGATGCCTCCAGGCGATGCACCATTGTGTCAGGGCTCAAAGAAAATTGTTATTTCCAAAAATGTCAAAACGTGGAGCAATGCAGTGCATATGTGCATCACTGGTATTACTTTCCATGTGGTGGTGCTATATTACTTTAGAAGGTAAAAGATATGTTTACAGATCTGCCTGTTATGTATTAAAGAAAGCTGGCTGTTGCTTCTCAATGTGCCTCAAGTTCAGATGTAACTCATCTCATTTGCACAGAATCCAGCTCTGCATAAGGTCAATCTGTCTTACAAAACAAGCCTCTGAAGTAGTACCATAAATATAATAATTTGCCAATTCAGTCTGTTTCCACTGCTGGCTCAAAACCAGGAGACACCTGAAAGAAGGTGTTACTGAAAGAATTACTGATTTAATGTGTTTCAGTCACTGTGGACATAGAAACTCCACAAAGATATCATCCCAGGAATTGAACCCAGCACTGTTAAACACTGTGCCACCATGCCACCCTTTAATAACATTAATTTTATTAAAATGAGCTGAACTGCTCCTGTGGAAGACAAGGCTCAGGGAAGGACTGCAGGTGTGGTTTTTGTACTGATAGTCAATGTGTGTCAGGCACTGTGGGCACTCCCAGCACAGAAATACACCACAGAGTCATCCACTGCCAAAGCTGTAGACTCCAGAGTGAAATGGGACCAGTTCTGCCTGCTTGAGCTGAACTGGTCCACTGTGGGGGGCTCTACAGTCCCAGGAGCAGAAGAGAAAAACAGAGGCTTCAGCAAACTAGAGCTGTGCTGCCTGAACCAGTAGATTGAAGGGCTAGAAGATCCGGTCACCTCACAGTTTAGCTCAAAAGAACTTCCCTGTCTTTCAAATATTACTGTAGGATACTGCCGAACTGTCACAGACACAGCACCTGGAAGGAAAAAAAGGACAGCTGATTCAAATAACAGGGTAGAGATCAGCAAAAGTCTATCTCTTACACCATTATCCTAAAATTAATACTATTACAATCCTTCCATCCATTATTAGAAAGCCACATATTACTGATGAGAGTCGTGGCGACCCAGAGCCTGTTCCAGAGGCCCAGAGTACAAGGTGGGACTGCACGCTGCATGGAACAACAGCCTATTGCACTGCTCAGAAAGAAAATGTTGATTACATTCTTACAGAAAAGAAAGTGCATATGCTGAAAATGTAATTAATTGGTTAAAGAGCAGAGATTCTACAAAAACATACTGGTTTTGCTCTTCCATCATGCAATGAAATGTCTGATTACCATGTAGCCTTTTTCACTGACAAACAATCACAAATATTAAATAATGGCTGAAGCTGCTACTCTAATATGGAAAAACTGTTGTTTTTACAAGGGAGATAAATTGTGGACAACCAATGAAGAGCAGATTACTTTTTTTCAAACCTTTACTTTTTTATTATGGTTATTTTTTCAAACTGATGGAATCGAAGCTATCAGCAAAAACAAAGCTTCTGTGATTGTTACAACTCACCCCTGACCAGCAGCAGCAGGTGGAAGAGACGCATGATGCCTTGCTGCCACACAAAGGACTTGTCTCTCAGCTCTGAGTCAGAGTCTGTGTCTGCTGGGAGCTCCAGAGGAGGATCAGGAAGAGAGCTGGTGTGACAGAACAAGGTGTGATCACCTCTGGGGAAGAGCTGGTGGGTGTCAGAGAGCCTGAGGCCACCTCACGCCTGAACATCAGCCTCCTTTTCACCCAGCTGTGACCTCGCTGCTGAGAGTACCTATAGAGACACCTGGCAATGGAGAAGGAAAATTAACTCATGGCTTTGTACAAAGAAACTCCTTGTGCATGAAAGTCTTGATTTTAAAAACAGATTAATTTAAAAACAGGCTTAAGGCAGCAGTAAAAAAGCTTTCCACAGGAACATGAAAAATGCTCTCAAATGTCCTTCTCAATTCAATGTGAATTATTGGATCAGTTTTCTGAGAGAAACGGGTCATAATAATGAGTTCAGTCAACTACCTGTTGCTAAGTTCCCCTTCTCCCATGATTCATTTCACTAAGTAAAAATAAATAAATTGTATTGTGCTAACAAAAACAGCAGAGACTGACTATTGAGTTATTGAAGACTATTCTCTCTTTTGTATCTGCAGTGCTTCTGAATTAATGATGGTTTATCTCTGAGCTTGTAGAAGGACTGCAGGTGTGGTTTTTGTACTGACAGTCAATGTGTTTCAGGCACTGTGAGTGCTTCCAGCACAGAAATACACTGCAGAGTCATCCACTGTCAAGGCTGTAGACTCCAGAATGAAGTGGGAGCCATTGGGTCTGGTTGCACTGAAATGCCCCTGTGTGGGGGGATCTACATTACCAGAAGCAACAGAATAAAACAGAGGATTCAGATCACTATGGCTCTGCTGCTTGAACCAGTAGATTGAAGGACTAGCTGACCCTGTCACCTCACAGTTAATTTTTAAAGTACTGCCTTGTATTCCAAATTCTATTGTAGGATACTGCCGTACAGTCACAGAAACAGCCCCTGGAAGAAAGAAAAAAAGCAATTACTTAAAATAACAGGTTCAGGTTGGGGATTAGTCAGGGAAGACATTCCTCCTTAAAAGCTGTCTCAGGATTCACATTACTTGATTTCACACACAGTTCATATGAATTGCATTGTTATGCAAATAATTGAGTCAGTGCAAATGCTTGAAAAGTTTTTCCTGACATGGCGATTCCAAAATCTCAATGCTTGAGTCTGATTCAGATAGTCCTACCTCTCTTTAGGTACTATTAGAAATCTATCTTGTTTTAGATCCTGCTGTCTTCTGCTTGATTTGTTTTTAGAATTATTTATAAATTATTATTTAGATGTATTTTTAAAATATAGGGAATAAATGGAGTTCTGTACCAAACCTTAGAAATAAGTACCGCTCAGCATGTTTCTCAAAAAGCTAAATCTGTTTGGTCTTAATATTTGCCAAGTGTCTTCTAAAACTGTAATGAGCACTGTCGATATGTATGAATAGAATCACTGTAACAGCTCACCCCTGACCAGCAGCAGCAGGAGAAAGAGACCCATGATGCCTTGCTGCCACACGAAGGACTTCTGTATCTGTGTCTGCTGGGAGCTCCAGAGGAGGATCAGGAAGAGAGCTGGTGTGACAGAACAAGGTGTGATCACCTCTGGGGAAGAGCAAGAGGTCGTCAAAGAGCCTGAGGCCACCTCACGTCTGAACATCCGCCTCCTTTTCACCCAGCTGTGACATCGCTGCTGAGAGGACCTGCAGAGACACCTGGAGATGGAGAAGGAAAATGCACTCATGACTTTGTAGAGATACTCTTTTCACTGTGAAGCTGTTTTTCAAGCCAGATCTCACTAGACGAATGGCTTGATGCACCTAATCTCACCCTAATGTTTCTAATTTTAAATGTACTGGAGTTTATTAAGAATTATGTGTTAGCTGGCATGCTTTTTAACAAGCAGACATTTCAGGTGTGCATACATTACCCACCCACTCAGTAAGATTATTATTAATGTATTGTCTTGGCTGATAATTTCAAATCAGTATACAGTGGGTTTAATTACATATCTCTTTCCATGTCAATTTATGTACCAATGTGTTCTTTGCGGGAGCAATCTGGGTTCAGTTCTGTGTTTTGGGGTGCAGTGTTCCCACCCAACACATTCTGGCCAGGAACCACTGGATAACTGAAAGATTTGAAAAACTGATTATTTTCCCAAACCATTTTTTAAAGAAAAGATAATTTCACTTCTCTTTAACCTTCTCATATTCTTTCTTGTACGTTTGTACCTTCTTTTAGAAAACGTTGGAGATCATAATTTTTCAAACCTCCCCAGCTGCAAAACAACGGTGCAGTTAAGACTGAGAACAGCAGGTACTTCTTTATGCAAAGGGCTGTGGGAATCAGATTGTTGAAGCCCATGAAGGACAACAATACAGGATTCATGGACAATCAATTTCTAGCAATGAGCAGAAATGAGCCAATAGCCATCTCTCATTTGTTATCTTTCTTTTGCTCTTATGTTACATCTTGGGAGAAATAAAATTAATAAGCATATGTCCTCTAATAAGTTATTGGGCTCAGCAAGTCCCAAAATGCAACTTTAAACTTTTAGGATACCTTTAAGAAATACTTTTCCGCTGGAATTCACCATGTACTCTAAATACATTATGCTTAAAAACATTGTAACGCCATGACTGTCTTCTAGCTGACATGCTCCTATATTAACAACGGTGAAAGATAAGGCTCAGGGAAGGACTGCAGGTGTGGTTTTTGTGCTGATAGTCAATGTGTGTCAGGCACTGTGGGCACTCCCAGCACAGAAATACACCGCAGAGTCATCCACTGCCAAAGCTGTAGACTCCAGAGTGAAATGGGAGCTGTTGTGTCTGCTTCCTCTAAACCGGTCTAGTCTGATGGGATCTACATCTCCAGTACCAATAGAATAAAAAAGCAACTCCAGCTCATGTTCAGGGCCTTGCCTGTACCAGTACATATTGGGATTGCTGTGGTCTGTAATGGAGCAAGTTATGTTCATTGGAGAGCCAGACCTATGAACCAATGAAAGAGGAAACTGATGTGCAGACATAGCATCCACACCTGAAAGAGAGAAATGATACGCTTTCACTTACCCCACCTTACAGACATGTAGACAGTATACAGTGTAGAGCCTAAATCAAAATTCTACATTAAAATATCCTGTACTGCAGAAAAAATAACATGAAATCATCATCTTAATAACATTCTAGAATATTATTCCTAAAAAGTAAAAAAAAAAGAGAGCAATGGCAAGGATTCTTAAGTCCAAGATATCAATTGTTGCATTAGTCTGAGACTTGTAGAGCTAGAAAGAAACACAAGGAATTGAATTGATCATTTCTAACAGTGTAAACTCAATTTTGTAAGATGGAGGGTCTATGACCCTAGCCAGCGAGTTGGCGTCAGTCCACTCACTCTTCAGCAGCAGCAGCACCAGCACACAGGGTGACAGCATGGTCCTCCAGTCAGGTGTGTGTGAGCTCAAGGAGCAGAGCAGAAATACTCGTTCGGGTCACTGAGCACTGAGCACCCAAACTCCACCCCTGACACCCAGCCCTCCCAACCACACTTCACTCTGCAACTATTGTTTGAGTACCAGTAACTGTCATCTCAGAGCATTCCTATGTTTGTTTCAAACTATTGCTTGAAAAAGTACTCCTTAGCGGATCTGTGATCTCTTATATTTTTAAATGAAAACCTTCTGCAGATTTATTTTTTAATTATTGCTTTACTTTTTCAGTTATGCTCAATTCCAGGTTAATTCCAATGTTTCAAAGCATAGGGGTGTCCCGGACACTGCAGTCAGGATAAACACAGCAGTCATTGCCGAACAATGAAAAAAAATCAGTAATGGTATTTGAACAGATATTGCAATGTACAACGAAAACTCCCACTGGATTTTTAGGAACCCCACCCCCTTATTCTTCAATGGAGAGTAACTTAGACAGCATCATCGTGCCCAGCTTCAGGAGCCAGCTGTATGCTCCTGTGAGGTTTTTGTTCGGGGGCCCTGTGTGCCTCAGTCACTGTGTCTACTCCAGGCACAGTAATACACTGCAGTGTGGTTCACTCTCAGGCTGTCTGTGCGCAGGCTGAGGAAAAGGTCTTCTTTTCTCTCTGGTATAAAGTCTTTCACCGGAGAGTCATCAAACATCCCCTTGCCCCTGGAGAAAAAGAGGAACTCCATCTCTCCACTGCCATGCTGTCTGTACCAGTAGAGATCTGGGTTGGAGGTCCCACTGAGAGTACAGCTCATCTCGGCTTTCTCTTCTGGTAACTTGGCAATGTAGCGTGGGCTCTGCTCAATCACAGTCTGTGCTGAAATACCTGGGGAAAAATAACTTGGTCACTGTAGAAACAGCCAGACTGAATTTACCATGGAAAAACAAGACCTGATTAGACTGAATGAGCATTTACTAGAAAGATGAGCAGTAAAATGAATATTGTTGTTACCTCCAAAATGTCATGATCCCCTCTTTTGCATAAGGGCCCCAAAAAAACATTAGGAACATTGTCTCAGATTTAACTGAAATACACCTTAGGCATTCTTCAAACATTTACTTCTGTTGTATTTCTGAACATTTTTTACTTCAAACATTAATTGTTTGTTTTGTTTGTTTTGCACTAATGCCCTCCACCTGCTCTTAAAAAGTATGTTTAAGGTAAGAAATATAGAACATGTCATTTGTCATATCTCTGCTAATATTATTTTATACCACATTTTCATGCTTAAAATTGTTTTGTTTTTTTTCAGAAAACAGTGAGAACATTTTCTGGTTTCAAAAGCTTAGAAAACCACCCTTGTAAGGTTTACCAATACAGACACATAACTTGGAAAATCCTTAAAAGCCCCATCTGTGTAACAAAGCCTAACTAAATCACTTAATCTTCAGGTGTTCAAAGTCCTGTTAGGAGCTTCAGTACTCCTAACTGCACCCCAGCTGAAACCCTGCGGCCTGTGACCCCGCCAGCAAGTTGCTGTCAGTCCACTCACTCCTCAGCAGCAGCAGCACCAGCAAACAGTGTGACAGCATGGTCCTCTAGTCAGGTGTGTGTGAGCTCAGCGCTGACAGCAGCAGGGCACTGTGGAGCTCAGGGAGGGAGTCCAGACCTGTATGAGCTCAGAGCTCTTCCCCTCTGCTCTGTCCACACCCCTCGCGATGAAGGAGGAGACCTGGCCCTCTCCAATGCTTCATCGGTTGATGACTCATCACATAGTTCCTAGACAGTTCAATCTTCAATCTTGTAATGTACCCAGAAGATGTGAGAAGATCACTGGCTGATATGCCTAATAAAGCTGCACAGTGAGAGTCACTTGTAACGAGTGCAGAAATTAAATACAACAAAACATAAAACTACAGTTAATATATTAATTTATGTCTAAATCTGGTACAAATTGATATTGGTATTCATGCACATATATATTTTAATGTATGTGTATTTTTAATATTTCACCAAGAATGTACTTTCCCAGTATCCTTTCCTTCATTTTCTAGACACTTCATCTAACACAGGGTCACAGGGCCTATCCTGGCAAGCACCAGGTGCAAAACAGAAAACACTCTTGATGGGATACCACACACACACACATTCACACCAGGGCCAATCTTCCCAGAAACTAATTAATGTTTGACTGCTGCAAACTTTAATGCAAACTCTAACTAATTTGCATTAAAATGAATTATGTTTATGAGGGTGACACAGTGGTAAGCATTACTGCCTCACAGCACTGGGGCACTGGGTTCAATTCCAGACCTGGGGTGCTGTCTGCACGGAGTTTGGACATTCTCTCCTTGTTTGTATGTGTTTCCTCTGGGTGTTCCAGTTTTCTTCTGCAGTCCAAAGACATACCGGTAAGTTAATTAGCTTCTGTGAAAGCTGGCCCTGGGGATGCGTGTTTGTATCTGTCTGCCATGCAGTGGACTGGTGTCCTGTTCAGGGTATCCCCTACCTTGCACTTGGTTGCCAGGATAACCTCTGGCTCTCCTGGAATAGGATGAATGAATAGATGGATGAATGGTGTGTAACATTTAAATAAACTTTCAAACACAGCTGTATGATTCATATACTTGTTGATTTTGGGTTTGTGGTCTTGAAGTTCAGTTAATTGAAATAAGGGAAGTGCCTCATTATATTTTGTACCTCACACAAACTCGGGAGAGTCTGCCAGCTCCAGGAGCCAGATGTAAGCTCCTGTGAGGTTTTTGTTCAGGGGCCCTGTGTGCCTCAGTCACTGTGTCTACTCCAGGCACAGTAATACACTGCAGTGTGGTTCACTCTCAGGCTATCTGTGCGCAGGCTGAGGAAAAGGTCTTCTTTTCTCTCTGGTATAAAGTCTTTCACCGGAGAATCATCAAACATCCCCTTGCCCCTGGAGAAAAAGAGGAACTCCATCTCTCCACTGCCATGCTGTCTGTACCAGTAGAGATAGGGACTGGAGGTCCCACTGAGAGTACAGCTCATCTCGGCTTTCTCTTCTGGTAACTTGGCAATGTAGCGTGGGCTCTGCTCAATTACAGTCTGCGCTAAGAAACCTGGGAAAAAGAAACCTATTAGCAGGGTAGAAAACAGTGAGCTTGAAATTACCATGAAGCAAAATGATCTAACCTCAACCTGCAAAATTTCCTACTGCAATCATTTTTTTAAATGTAAATTAAATTGAACATGTACAGTATAAGTGTATTTCTTTTCTGTTCATTTTCTCGTAGTAACATTGATTATCCCTACATTTGCACACACACTGTATGAAAACAATTTCTTCCAGATACTGATGAGCACGTTTTCCTCTTTTGAAAAGCTTAGAAAACCACTCTGTAAGAATTACCAATAGGGACACTAACAATACAGCAGCTTGGAATGTTGCATTTAAATCCTAACTAAATCACTGTATTTTAATCTTCAGGTGTTCAAAGTCCTGTTAGGAGCTACAGTACTCCTGACTGCACCCCAGCTGAAACCGTGCGGCATGTGACCCCTCCGGCGAGTTGCTGTTGGTCCACTCACTCCTCAGCAGCAGCAGCAGCAGCACCAGCAAACAGTGTGACAGCATGGTCCTCCAGACAGGTGTGTGTGAACTCAGCGCTGACAGCAGCAGGGCGCTGTGGAGCTCAGGAAGGGAGTCTAGACCCGTATGAGCTCAGAGCTCTTCCTCTCTGCTCTGTCCACACCCCTCACGATGAAGGAGGAGACTTGGCTCTCTCCAGTGTTTCATCGATTGTCTTGCCTGTGATGGCCTTGTTAATGAAATCATTTCCACTTAGCAGCACAGGGGGACTTATTTCTACAGCAGATGCACTGTCCATACAGAGAGGCGATATGAAGAATTTTAAATGTAAAAGTTGATCTCACACACACACATCATTTACATTTAAATATTTTAGGACACACAATCACATTGTTTTCACTTATACTGTATATATATTTAAATACTGTGTCAAAAATGTTTCTCAGATACCTTTTAATATTGCAATTCAGTTCTGAAAGATCTACAATGTATTCCTTAGTTTTATTTAGATTTAAAATCTAGTTGGGCAGTGCTGACACCCATCTGGCAAGTAGGTGTTTTGTTCGCATTGAAAGTAAATATCCTGTTTTACAAATTATGGGTAACATTCTTACAAAACCACTACTGACTGCTATCTGGTTGAACATCATGTGAATATTATTTATGGCTCTTACAATGCGGATAAAAAAGGACAGTGAAATGTTAGTCACTGACTATAGTGGAGTGCAACATATTTAAACTTCTGTTTTATGGCAGTGCTTTCATTTTTACATCTTGCAATATTACTACTTCAAGGCTGATGACAGTCTGCCAGCTCCAGGAGCCAGTTGTAAGATCCTGTGAGGTTTTTGTTCAGGGGCCCCGTGTGCCTCAGTCACTGTGTCTACTCCAGGCACAGTAATACACTGCAGTGTGGTTCACTCTCAGGCTGTCTGTGCGCAGGCTGAGGAACAGGTCTTCTTTTCTCTCTGGTATAAAGTCTTTCACCGGAGAATCATCAAACATCCCCTTGCCCCTGGAGACAAAGAGGAACTCCATCTCTCCACTGCCATGCTGTCTGTACCAGTAGAGGAAGGGGGTGGAGGTCCCACTGAGCGTACAGCTCATCTTGGCTTTCTCTCCTCGTAACTTGGCAATGTAGCGTGGGCTCTGCTCAATTACAGTTTCTGTTGAAATACCTGAAAAAGAGATGAAAAGCCAACTCAGCTTGTTTGACAGACAATTCTTCCTGAAAAATTAGAGTCTGGAGAATGTGCACAAAAAAGATGGGCTTTCCATGAAAAAAATTGATAATTTACAGATGTAATTGGAGCACATAGTCTCTTTACAATTATTTATTGTGCTAAATGGCAACCATGGCTTTGTCTCCCAGCTGTCACATGCTGCGTTTCGCCTTCAAAGTAAAACAAAACATGGCAAAAGACAATTTAAGCTTTTTCTTAAAGAACCAGCTAAAGCAAAATGACATTCTTATAAAAGCCCCTTCAAGGGGCTATGTCACCATTGTGATCAAAACAGAGCTCTCCAGAGGTTTCTGTGGTGGGGCTCCATTTGTGAGAACAGCCATGTGCAGTGTATGAGCAGTAGTAGACTCCACTGTTATCCTGAACAAGAGACTTTGTTTCCAGACTTTAGGTACTTCCATTCAGTTGTCTGGCTTAAAAGGTGGGTCCCCATGTGTGCCTGGTCCAATGGCCAGAACCTGGAACTCGAGTTCTGATCTAGAGTTCTGCCTATACTACAACATTTGAGGGTTGCTGAAATTTTCCACACTGCACATCAAACTGGCTTGAGATCCAGCAGGCTGTGCAATGGAGGAGGGAGACTGAAGGACAAACAGAACTTCCACAGCAGAAACACCAGGAGCTCAAAAATGGACAAAGGGAGACAAAACACAGCTTAGTGTGTCACTGAAAAAAAATAAATTGAAAGAAAATTAAGAGACTGAGACAGGAACAACAAAAGTCCACCAGGAAAACACATCTGAAGAAAAAGTGGTAAAGAGTCAGGAATTCCATTCAAATGTGACACAAAATAAAAAAAAAACAAATGAAATGAAATGAGATGAGCACAAAGATTAATAAAAGGAGATAAAGTTAGCTTCCTACCACTTACAATGAACTTGAACTTGAACTTACAATGCATAAATACCGAAAGGAGCAGTAAAATGAATGTCATGGTCCTCTTCTTGAGAGCCTAGAAGAACAGCGCTTCTGTAAGTCTGCTCTGCCCTAAGCAAGATAGCAGCTCCACGCCTCCTTTCAGGGCTGGGCCCAGATAGGCAAAACACTCAGACTCTGAAAGCTGTGCAGGACAAGCAATGAACAGTGTTTGATTCCAGGCAGCTGTGTCGCTCAAACCAAGAGAGGTAATCTCACAGGGCTGCAGCAGGCTGACTCTCACTGGTTGTGAGTGAAGGTGAAACTGGGCTGGATCACATCTACAATTTTCCATCTAGTGCAGATTTTGCATGATTCTTATTCTTTACATTTCAAGTTCAAGTTTATTGTCGTTATACGCATATACAAGTATATGGTATAACTAAATGGTATTTAGCTAGCTCTCAGATGGTAAGATGTACAAAAAAAACAACAATACAATTGCACAGGCACAGGCAATGTGCAAAACACCATCAGATGTGCAAAATCAAACATCAACAGAATGAAATAAGGGATAGAAAATTATGGGGAGTGAGCTTCTTGACATGTGAGGTAGAGGTAGAGTTCAATGTGTGTTTGAGTTTTGATAAAGAGAGAAGGCACTGTAAGGGTTCAGATCGTAGGTGACAGAGGCTGGGAGTTTAATAGTTTGATAGTGCAGGGGTAAAAACTGTCTCTGAGTCTAGTAGTCCGGGCCCGAATGCTCCGGTACCGTTTTCCAAATGGTGGTACCGTTTTCTAGATCATCTCTAGTTTATTTAATTGAACAAATCACTTCTTTACTTGATCACAGTTAACTTTTTGCAGGTTTTCAGAAATTTGCTGGATACCTTTCAAGTCTGCAGACTGGGGCTCTCTAGGACCAATGCTGGAAACTCCTGACATAGATGGACAGATAAACTGAGAGAACAGAACTAAATAACTACATGAGGGCATTCTGTGGGTAATAAAGAGAAGCAGTGTAATTCTATAATATTAACTGCTCATTTCTAAAATGTAACATTTGAACTGGTAGCAGTTTTTGCTAATGATGGAGATACCCACATATGTGTTACTAGGCTAGAAGCAGAACTAAACAAACTAAACAGAACTAAACAAAGGACAAAAAAGCATCAAGGCCATAGTCGAAACAAAGTTAGACTGCCCTGATGAGTCCCAATGGAAAACTAGTCTGCATCTGTTACAAGTCTGGGCAGTTTATTTATGTGGCTATCAATAAAGATTATAGTATCTCCTTCAATTGAACTCCTTCAATTTCCATGAATTGTTCCATAAACTGTAAATATAAATACTGTATAAGTAAAATGTCAGCCCTTAGAAAGGGACCTGGACTCAGTTCATCATGTACTCCCTCAGTTCTTATAACTGAGGTAAAGAAACACTGTACTGTATATTTAGAAAGAAAATGTTAAAGATTTATCGCTGGCACTCAAGATTTCTCCTCCAAAGTTGTTCTGCCTGTTAATTGAACTTACATTTCAATCAAAGTATCAGTTTTTTTAATGTAATTTTGCTTTAAATCACACCTTTTCAGGGTGAAAACACTGTCAGAGAACTTTGTCAAGTGAAGGTGCATCATAGAACAATGAGGACCGAGGGAAGAATGGAACCTACCCACCAGTGCTCAAAAATGGTAACTAGGATCTACACAACAGGAAAACAATCACTCGTTCTCAAAGTTTGATTAATTAGTAATTTAACAACCTCACTAAATTCAACAGTATATCATGTGTTCATCCTATAGTACATGTGGTGTTAATAAAGCAAGGTTACTTTACCAACCCCTCTAAAAACACAATGGCAGTGAACATATACAGTGTGATCTGCAACGTAAAGTGACTGGTCTGAACTTTTTATTACAGACTTTAAGCCTCACCAGTGTCTGGTGACTGTCTGTTACCTGCCTTCTGTAGGCCTCTTTATGGCCTGAATTGCTGACAACATTAGAATGGCAGTAAACCGCAGGAGTCTGATTTCTATTAGGCTATAAATGTGAGGATTTTGAGACGTCATTTCTTAAAGGATCTCAGAGTCTATGTCTATATCATATCTATCTATGAAGGCAAAACAAAGAAAATCATATGGACATGCTACTGGGGTTATTTTTTAAGTTTGCATAACAAGCACTGCCCTCTGCTGTTCAACTGATAGAACTGTCCAAGAGGTTTTTGAATTGAGGCTCCGAGGCTCTGTAGTGCTGTGTCTAAACTGCTAGCGCAGTAATAGACAGCGGAGTCATTGAGCTGGAGGTCTGTCAGTGTCAGTAAGAAGTTCTTTCTGTCAGGTCTGCTGGCTGACAGTCTCTTGTCCTCAGACTCATTCTCAGCTTCCATCCCTTCATACCTGGAGAAGAGCAGCAGCCTCAGACCCTCCTTGGGATCCTGCCTGTACCAGTACATGTACTCATCAGTCGCGTTCTGTTTGCACACCAGATGAACAGCTTCACCACTGTGTCCTACTGTAAACTTCTCCTGCCACACAGATGTCCTTGCCAAAGTGTCTGGAAGAAAAGAAGAACTAATTTAGGAGCCTGGTAACATGTCCCCGCTTCATGCATGCATATGTTTTTCAGCATATGGCACATATGTGAGATTGTTCATATTGGAGCTGTTTTCCTTTTCTTTTCATTTCTGTAAAACTGTACACTTCTTGTGTTTGCTGCCCAAAGGAAAACATTACAAATTAGCTCAGTTTTTGTAGGGTTAGAATCTGCTGTATCTTGTGTCATTGTCAAGACAAATGTTTAACCCCGAAGCTGCGCAACAACAGGTACGCTACTTACGAGCCAGCGAGAGGAATAGAGTGGCGACAAACAGGAGCATGATGAACTGCAGTGAGGAGGCACAGAAGGAGTCGGTTCAGTGCTGTGTCTCAGGGTGGAGAGCTCTCCCTGCTGGGCACCAGTGCCTTGTAGGATATCAGTCACTTTGGCTAATGTTTGTGGGGGGTTGTGACGCAGGTGTAGCCTGATGACGACTGTCTCACAAATAACACTGTGGACACATCACAGTGGACAAAGTATGCTGAAAACTTTTTCTAAGTTAAACGTATTCCATTGACACATACTATAAACAGATTGGAATGACAGGACAACAGCCAAGTCCATTCATTCTGAGAACCAGGAGAGAAGGATAATAAATATATTGGATAACTCTTTCAAAGTCCACTAAAAAACAACATGATACTTGTCACGTGCAATGCTTTAACTACACAACGTCATTTTGGTAGGTGTCCCGAGTGACATGTGACACTTTTCACAGGCGAACATTGGGTGACATTTTTCACTTCCCAAGCAATGGTGTGTATAATGTGTGTGCAGACAGGACATTGGTGTAAAAGGGAAGGACACTGGTGTTATTTAATCTACATTAGGAAGTGCAAAATAGTAGGGGCAGTCCTTTTCATCATTTCACCTTTCCCTTGACCAGAACACTTGATGGAAGCTGAGCCATTCTATTCACAAACATTGTTACCTTGAATAGATTAAATCTGCACTTATGCCCTTCAGAAGCCATTGTAAATTTGACAGCCCGCACTTGATGGAGAATTTACACTCAACTGAAGACTGATATCAGGTGCTGAGTGTGGTTTGACAGACTGAGTGATGTCTATTCCATACAAGAAAACTTGCTCTGAAATGTTAGCCTCTGCTGAAGCTCCAAGGTTTCTGTAGCCCATGCTTGATGCAGTGCCGCCCTCTAGTGTTAGCTGATGACTACAGTTCTGAACTGAGGCTCGGGTGGCTAGATCTCTGTCAGTGGCTGTGGAACGTTTTCACTCTGAAGTCTGCTAGATGTCAATCTCTTGACCTTGGACTCATGCTCAGCTTTCAGTCCTTTCTGCTTGGATAAGAACAGCAGGCCACAGGCCCTCTCTGTAACAGTGACTGCACCAACTTGTGTTCTTATTATTATCCATTTGACATGAATTACTTCTCCCAGCAAACCTATCTCACAACTGCAACAGCTGAGAAAAGATCACTTTATTGGCCATATACAATTTCTAGCATTAGGAATTCATCTTTTCACATACCCCACCTTGCTCTCCATGAGACACACAGACAGGGAGAGAAGCTTGGGGTCAGAGCGCAGGGTCAGCCATTGTACAGCACCCCTGGAGCAGGGGGGGTTAAGGGCCTTGCTCAGGGGCCCAAGCAGTAGGATTCCTCTGCCAGCCGCAGGATTTGAACCAGCAACCTTCCAGCCATAGGTGCACTGCTCTGCCCAGAAACACCTAAAATAAGAAAATCCAATTCCTTTCATCATATATGCACTGTGTTTTTGTCTACAATACTTTTTTCCACTTTTTCCCAAAAGATGCACAGAAAAAAACAAGTCTTCCAGAACTTATTCTTTATTTTGGTCTAACACAGTTCTTTAGCAATGAAATTATACCAATTTCTCAGCACAGAAGTGAAATCATAATCCACTACAGATACGTGTTGTAAAATGATGTTGCAATTAAATGTAATGTTACATTCCAAAAGAAGATGGAGAAATTTCCAAATTTTGGGTTTGTCAGTGAAGCAATCTTAAGATATTGTGAGAGGGGGTATATTCGGCAGGAATGTGGTCAAGTCCTGTACACAGACTGTAAGCGTGACATTGAGCAAGTGCAGCTCCTACTCCTACACTGCTGTCTCTCAGGACATTACACTCCTTCAGGGCTGCAGAGCTTCCCGCTGAACAAATCTTCACTGGATCCTAAACGCACACCTGCACTATTTTAAATCAGTACAACCTTTGTGACAGACTGTATTACCAGATTAATTTAAACCAGCGAAAAAGAATACATTAAACACATGAAAATGAAGAAATGAAATCTAATGCACATCATCTCTGTATGAGAGATATGCTTATGTTTTATATGGCAATGGTTCAGATTCTCACAGTTCTTAGCAATAAAATAATAAATAACTTTTACTGCAAAATCTTGCACTTTCAAATAAAAGAGAGTAGGTATTTGGCCCAATTTCCTAACTTGAACAACTATGAGTTCACTTTACACAACCCTCCATACGTCAATGTGACCTTAACCTCCCCTGAGATTTGTAAATGTTATTATTAATTCATATTAATAAGAAGAATTCCAGTGCCTGAAGTCCCTAGCTATCGATTTACGCATTGTGCAAAGACATTTACCATTTACACGGTGTTTTCTGAACATGGTCATAGCCACCACAGTCACATTAGCGGCAGCATATCCAGATCATTTGCAAGCGAATGCGGGACGGGTGATTTGTTACCTGGTCATTAAGTCATCGTGATAAACATAACTGCCTGTAGTGACGTTCTGGTGTTTTATAGCTCATTAGTTCGCACTCGGCCCAGACAGGGAATATGTCACATCATTTGAGACTTTCTGCTGTGTATTTTAAACTGGGGGAGATTGCGTGTTTTATGGTTCTTTATCGGAACCAGATTAATTGGTTATTTGTAAATTTATGTCATAATGCATCGCCTAAAAAGAATAATCCACTACCTCCTCTGAGATAGTCTATCTGAGTAGTAATGAGTAGACGTTTCGTCTTCTTAATGAGCGTCTGACAAGAAGGCATTAAGCATTTAACGTTGTTTAAATAGCTGTGTGAACACCCACAAGCACTTGCGCGGTTTGAAAGAGTCTTTTTTATTCCCCGAGAGACTGTCCTCCTTTCCCGCAGCTGTTGCCTGTTTCGCCTGGAGACCCAGCGGTGCAGGAGCAGGGCTGGTGGACCCACGTGGAAGGCTGTGCGTGGGGGCGCTATCCGCGGTGCGTGCCGGCCGGAGCTTCCTTTAAACCGGCTTGGCAACGGAGGGGAAGCCGGAAGAGTCGGCTGGTGTTGTTGTTGCTGCTGTGTTTGCAGGTACGACGAGAAACGCGTGGAGACTGGAGAGCTGAGAAAGGCAGTGAACAGAAATTAAATTCTTCCCCGTCAAAGCTAATATCAAGTGAATTACATAATAGGCGGCTTGTCGTTTTGAATAGTTGTCTGGTTCTTATTTCGTCGTTTATGTTTGTAAAACTACGAAGTCGGTGTTGTGGAAAGTGACAGTCCAAAAGTCTGGTCGTTTAGGGATTTTTTTGTTTGTTAGGACAGTAACGTGCTATTAGAGTTTAGTTCGCATGAATCTGTGTACGCTTTTTAATGCTGTTATTTTCACGCTTTTTACACACGCTTGAGTTTGATGCCGAGGGTTATTTTTCATCGAACAACTAGCTGTCTTTGTTAATGCACATGGCACCAAATCATATTCTTGTTTAATCCGTGGATGTGCCCTCCTCAAAATAAGCGTCTTGGCTGTGTTCCGACGGCAGTCACTGTAGGTGTGATTTGAAGTGGCCGCACAAGCCTGCTGTAATACCTGCGCTGCGTGGAGTTGCACTTGCGTTAACTCGTTTGCTCCAAACGCGTGAAAGCTTGGCACTTGAGCAAACGGTGATAAACGTTACTTTTTGGAATTTCGGGTAATAGCTTAATTCTTTGCGTACCTTTTTCTTTTGGTGTTTACCAAAAAAAGAAAAATGCAACTTATAAACTGTATACCAGTGTAGTGTCTTGCCATTCTGTTTTTTTTTTTTCCCTTTCAAAGCTCAATAGTTTAATTCAACAATAGTATAACTTCTTAGTGAAGCGGTTACATCAAATCTCCATGTACCGTTTTCTGGAAATAAGCGACTGAGGGCTGCTGCTTGACATACATCAGAGTTAAACGTAACCCTTAACGTTAACATTTTTACGATTAATGATGGTTCTTTTTAAAGTGGTGAAGTAGGTTTGAATGTTGTCTTGTTTTTGAAGAGCTGGTCTCTTTCATTGTCTTTTGACAACTTGCAGTGTTTGGAAATGCATGGAATAGTAAAATCTGTCATTGCAGTTCATTTCTTTGTGCCTTGTGGCTTCTGTAACTTTCGCGTCAGTTTTATTTCCTCAACACAAGATTGAATCTCTCTTTTTTTTTTTTTTTTTCAGGGAGAAGAGATCACTTGCTTCAGAATGGAGGTTGATTTCATTTAAAGATGGTCTTGTGCCTGATGTGGGATTTGGAATTTGGCTTCGGCGGCACTGAGGGTTTGGGCTTTCTGGGGCAGTTTCCCTTTCGCCCGGATTGACGACGTTTCCTTTCATTTCCCGAGTGTGAATCCGCTTCGCTTACTGCCTTGGAATCCCAACTCTCTTGTCCTTGGGCTTGTATAACGGAGTCTTTATTGTTTTTGCCTACAAGCCAAGGGATCGCATCAAGACACAAGGCTTGCTTATGCTTTAGACCTCTCTTTTTTTTTTTAGATCTGTTCCTCTTGTTCTGTGCTTTCTCACTGGACTTGGAAGCCTTGAGTGTGTGGATATACTTTTTATTTAAAAAGGCCCACCCCAAGAAGAAAAATGTCCAGGCAAAACGCCCTGACTATAGCTGTGGCCACCATGGTGAGCGCTGCCTTGGGGGGCTTGGTGATCTGGAAGGTGGTGAGGACCCGCAGAAGAAGATCAAGCCCCCAACAGCTAGACCAGGGGCAGCCGGAGCTGAGCGAGCAGGATAGCTTGGTGGAACCCCAGGCCTCCGAATTGCCCCTCTTGCCCCTGCCCGAGCAGGTGCTGGGGGTGGAGCCGACACTGGTGACCTCGTGCGAGGAGTGGGAGATGGTCTGGCCAGCTGTGCAGAGAGACCTGTCGGTCTACCCCGTGCTGGGCCTCGACTGCGAATGGGTAACCGAGCAGCATCAGCAGCAGGGCGAAATGAAGCCAGAGGCCGACGTGCGTGTTGCTTCGCAGGCTTGCGGAATGCGTGAGCGTGGTGGCTGGTGGGGGGTGGCACGTCTTCACATTCCAGCACCGGGGAACAGCTGTTGTGCACTTGATTGGTTAATGGGCATCTTACAGGGTTGTTCCTTGGTTCTTTTTCAGAAGGTGGTCTGGACGTAGAGCTGTCCTGTTGCACTGTAGGTGTAAAAGTCCCTCAGTGGAGCATATCCATTGTAGGCAAAATGTTAAAGTCCTTTCAAAACTAAACTCCACACAGTGCTCTTGCATGTACAGTGAGCTTATCTGAAAATGCATTTCCACAATGCATGGTTATTTTAATGCACTTTTGTTAGCCAATGCTCCTGCCAACCATAATCTGGCCTGTTTGTGCTCTTTGGCACTTTGTGTGTGTGTGTGTAATGTGGCGCTTTGGCTTGGCAAGGACATGTTTATTTTAGTGGTGTGAAAGCCTTCTGACCCTTCCCCTGTTTTTTTTACCCCCAATGTGCTGTGTTCTGCCTCTCCAAGGTGTCGGTGAAGGGGAAAGCGGCCCCAGTCTCCTTGCTACAAATGGCCACTTACAGTGGCCTCTGCGTTCTCATCAGGCTCCCCAAGTTCCGCAGCAGCACCCCACCTGTTCCCCGCACACTACTGGACGTCTTGCAGGACCCGACCACCTTGAAAGTTGGTGTGGGCTGCTACGAAGACGCAGGGAAGCTGGCAAGGGATTATGGGGTGGCGGTGAACTGCACGGTGGATCTGCGCTACCTGGCCATGAGGCAAAGGTCATTATCACTTGAGTATAATCGCGCAGCTCACTGTGGAGGTGTGGACTGGAAAGCCACGCTCCTCCACATGCCACATCAGGAATGTGAATGCACGTTCCTTTTTTTGACTTCTAAAATTGTGGCTAGTTCCTGGCATTCTGACCTGATTCTTTTTCTTCACATGTGCTGTACAGACAGGTTACAGTCTATAATGGCTTGAGCCTGAAGTCTTTAGCTCAAGATATTCTGAATTTCTCTCTGGATAAGTCCCTGAAGCTGAGATGTAGCGACTGGGAAGCTGAGCAACTCTCCCAGGAGCAGGTAGTGAACTATTTTTTTTTTCTTAGGACAGTGTTGAGGCCCTAGTTTCAATTCCTGGGGTGCTGTCTGCATGGAGTTTGTATGTTCTTCTCCCGTGTTTCTATGGATTTCATCCTGAGTGCTTTGCTTTCCTTCACCAGTTAAAGTACCTACTAGCAGGTTAATTAGCTCCTAAGAAAATGGACACTGGTGTATTTTGTGCCAGTCTGCTGTGTGATACACTAGTCTTACGCCTGTTGCTTGTTGGGATAGGCTTCAGCTTTCCCACATCCCTATTGCATTTGATGAAATTGATGAATAGTGTTTCTATACTGCATTAAATAAAAAAAAAAGATCCAGATGGGATTTGCCTCCCGCTCTTTTTAACCAGGAGTTAATGATTATCCCTTGCGCTTGTGTTCTAGGTGACATATGCTGGCAGGGATGCCCAGGTATCAGTTGCTTTGTTCTTCCACCTGCTGGGGCTAAATTCCCCAGAGACACAAAACGGCACAATGCCAGAGAGAAGCTTCAAGCAGCTGGTGTCCAGGTGCCAGGGCCTGGTGGACGTGCCGTTCCGAGGGAGAGGCGGCGAGGGAGATGAGAAGGGCCCAGAGGGCCCTGGGGAGCGCAGGCGCAGGAGCAAGAGGGCTACGCTGGACAGTCAGAGCTCCGGCGACCAGCAGGTGCCGGACCCCCGCAAGAACAGACGCAAGCCGCTGGGGGTGGGCTACTCCGCCAGGTAGGATTGGACGTTTACCTGCTTCACTGCCTCGTCACCAAATGTTTTACACTTTTAAAGACTAGGGAAAGAAGAACATCATAGATTTGAGGAGAAGGTTTTGTGTTTTAAGTGTCTTGGTTCTTCACCGTAAATAATCTTTGTACCTGGTTGGCATGGCAAACTAAAACATTACTATGAGGAAGAGCGAGGTGTAGTCCAAGTGCTTTAACTCTTGAGTGTATTTGAGTGCAGTGAGAGGACTGGGGTCTGACACCTATTTTACTATTAAAAGAATTACAGTAAACTGTGCTTTGTCATTATTCTGGAAGATGTTTATGGTTGATTTTTGACAACTCAATTACCATGCTTTTGTGCAAGAACTTAATTGTTCTCAATTTGGTAAATTGCAGATAATGCAAAAAAAAGAGCCATGTTTCCCTTTTGAGACCCTGGTGCCCATAGTCCTGTAGGGCTCATTGGCTTGAGGCTGTCAGCTAGATAACTTTACTTACAGCTGCTGGAGAAATGCCCCATGGAGACTCCCCCTTCATTCAAAAGGCATTTGTCCAGCAGCAGTGAGCGACATCGGAAAGATGTCTGCTGAGCCGCTCCTAAGACATCTGAATAAACAGGAGGTGGTATCTTTAAAGTGAGTGTGGTGGCCTTAAGAAAAAGTGTAATGACGTATCCGATAAATGAAACTCTAAACCTTCCTATTCACACTTGTTTTATGTGATGATTGTTTTTAGGAAATCTCCACTATATGATAACTGTTTCCTTCACGCTCCGGATGGACAACCCCTCTGTACCTGTGACAAAAAGAAGGCCAAGTGGTACCTCGACAAGGGGATTGGAGGTAGTCCTCTTTTAATCATATTGTGCATCTTGATTTAAAGCAATTCAGTGTACTTTGCTTATAACTAAAAATGGATTACAGCACTGAAAATAAGTTGCCTTCCTAAAGTAAACCAGTTTATCACTTTGCACTGTAGATTTAAGAGAGAGGGGTGCATTTCCTTTGTTCTTAAGGTTTACAGCATTCTTGGACATGAATCTTCTTGGCTAGATACAAGGGGCACACCAGTCTGACTAGGAAGACAAGGTTGTTGGGTGCCTGGTGTGGACTGAAGCAAGGCAGTAGGGTCAACCTACAGGATTAATAAAGTATTATCTATCTATCTATCTAACCTGCTGGGTCTTCTGAGAACTCCTTTCAAGCTCCAGATGATCATTGCCCTCGCAGGCTCAAATGAGCTACGATACATTCTCTCTAAATTCCTTTGAATTCAGCAGCCCTTTACTAATCACCTCTTCAAATTCAAGAACACCGTTGGAACCACAGCCTATCCCAGCAAACAATGAGCATGAGGCAGGGTACACCCTGGATGAGGGCTGTTTTTCCAAGAAGCCATTTAACCTATCTTGTCTTTGGACTATGTGAAGAAACTTAAACACCCAGGGGAAACCCATACGAACGTGGGGAGAACATGTAAAATCCATGATGATGGCACCCCAGGCCCGGATTTGAACCCAGAGCCCCAGCACTGCAAGGCAGCCCCACTGTGGTGCCACTTCAGTCAATCTCAAAGTCATGCCACAAGTGTCCCATGTAGTCCTGTCCTGGATTCAGTCTGCTCTCTCAATTTCCTAACGCTTAAATTTGTGTATTGTATAGATGGACAAGCAAGTATAGTATATGAAAAGGACTAGTATGTGACCCTGGATGTTTGCAATGCCTTTTGGGCTCCAGGGGGACCTTATTGTGGCAGGGTGTATCTGAAGAAGTCTTCTTACAGTGGGAGGGAATATCAACCCGTGTTTGATGTCTTTCTCCCCCAAATTTCATTACTAAACTCCAGGTTTTAGTACCTCCAGTAGGTTTCTGATTGTTCCAATGACAAGAAGAACATGTGATGGAACACAGAAAATGGATAGACCTGATTAGTTTTTAAAAAAATGAACCCTGAAAACAAGGTTGAGGTAATCAAGAGTTGTTTTTTTGTCTTAGAGCTAATGAGTGAGGAGCCATTCATTGTGAGACTGAAGTTTGAGCCCTCGGGACGCCCTGAATCGCAGCAGGACTATTACCTCACTGCAAAAGAAAATCTGTGTGTGGTTTGTGGAAAGACAGATTCCTACATCAGGTGTGTAAGGTGGTGAAGACTCTGCTCCTAAGTTAATTTTTTTTTAATTCAGTTTAACTTGGATGTTATGTTCTTTGTCTGAATTTCTCAATTTGCATCAAAACAGTGGTTTTAATATTTGAATTATCAATAGATAAACCTTGTGAATTATACTTGATAATTTCCCATTTTCAACAAGATGCAATATTCATTCAGTTTAGGTTGCTTATTAACCAGTAAACTTCTAGGTCCCAGAAACAAGGTCTGTTTTCCTTCCAGTCATTTTTACTTGAATACTTACCTGAGCAAAAAAGTTGCCTCTTTAGCACTCCTGCATGTTTTTTTTTTTAATGCACTTAAGTTGGGAACCCCTACACAACATTTACTTTCCTAGACAGATTTTCCATGTTTTAACTTTTGAGGGCAGTAATGTGGAGTCAACTCTGTTAGTTTATAGAGAGCTCTCGTCGGGTAATTTATTGTTCATTTTCTGAGTGATCGAGCCGATTTCTGACCTCTCAGGAAAAATGTAGTCCCGCACGAATACCGCCGGCACTTCCCCACGGAGATGAAGGACCACAACTCACACGATGTCCTGCTGCTGTGCACTGCCTGCCACGCGGCCTCCAACTACCATGACAACCAGCTGAAGCAGAAGCTGGCGGAGGATTACGGCGCCCCCCTGGGCTGTGAGGAGGGCGTGCGGCTGCTGGAGGACTCGGACCGCCGGCACGTCCGCTCGGCGGCACGAGCGCTGCTCAACGCTGCCGACAGCCTGCCCCACAGCCGGCAGGAGGAGCTGCTGGCGGTCATCAAGGCCTTCTTCAACACGACGGAGGTGACGCCTGACATGCTGAAGCAGGCCGCCAGCCTGGAAACTAGGTAATGGAGCATTACATTAATCAGTCAAAGTTCTTTTGCATTTTTTATCAAATGCACAACAATACAGCAGTAGTTTCTGGCAATTAAATGTCTTTAGAAGTTCTCCCTAAGTATTGGGCATGAAGATCTGCCCAGTGGTGCACAAATCCTGTCCTAGAGGGCCCCAGTGTCTCTGGGTTTGTGTTCAACCTTGGTTTGTTAACCCAATTGACCCAATTAAACTGGTCCAATTAAGAAACGCTTCTCAAAGGTCTTCTGCTGTGGATGAACCTGCTGGCTTTTCACCTTCAAAGACTGGAGTTGTGCCTCTGTGAAATGGAGGGCTACAAGCGAGCATGTGTGTGCAACTGGGCTGCTGCAGAATCAAGAGGATGAGTAGAGAATGGAAGGCAATTGTTGGCAAAAGTACCCAGTGAAAAACCTCCTGTGTTTTTAAGAGAGGCTGTTGGTTTTAAATTGGCAGTGGATATTCCTTGGTGTGGTAGTCCCCTGACTTTGTGCTTGTTCTGTGCAGGATCTTCAATGAGAGCTATATCCCACATGGCCTGAAGGTGGTCCAAGCCTATGCCCACAGAGGGCTCCGAGGGCTGATGGAGCTGGAGAAATGCTGGCGGCAGCACTTCCTCTCTTCTATGCAGCCACGCTACCTCCCTCCTCTGTGGTCCGTTGAGCATAACCACACCAAGCTGTTGCGCAAGTATGGAGAGAACCTTGTAATCCAGCTCAGCTGACGAACCTCAACACTGAACTCCATTGTGAAGCTTAAAACCCAGTTTGCAGTATTGGACCTGCCGTGGAGGGTGGTCCTGGGGGTTTGTGACAGGACTGGATGAGATTGCTTAGCCTTCTTGGGGCTTGTATTGACCCTGGGGTGGATCTGGGTTCTCATTGCAACCACTTTTCACTGGTCTCTTCCCTCTCGAAAGGTACAGGAGCAGTAAACCCTGATTTTGATGTGCCATTGTAGAATAGTCATAAGATCCATAAACTGAAGTTAAGATTTAAGACTTCGCAAAGCTGAACAACACCATTTTGTGAATGCAGGTCACTTTTTATGTCAATGACTAGACAAATTCAGTTTTCTTAATTTTGGCACTTTGCTGGTCCTTTCTTTTTAAATATTTAAATGCAGGATAAATTCAGTAGCTAAAGAAAAACCCTGAATTTTAGGATTTGTATTCCTTGACGCTCAAACCTGCACTTAATCTTTTTTAAATTTTACATGCATAAATGAGTAATGCAAATTCCTGTGGGTTTGTAGCCATCAGAGTACAGGTGCAGGTGTTATTTTAGCACCAGTTCTAGCTAGAATAAGGTGGTATCGCATGGTCTCCTCATACCAGAATTCTAAGACCTTACGATGTCTAGAGCTGTAACGGTCAATAGTTCAGCTTTAGTTGTTTCTTTCAGCTTTTTCTATTTTGTGGCACTTCTAGTGAATTGCCCCACATCTCAGTCCCCTCTTTGCTGCTGAATGCAATAGTTCTGCAACTTTTTCCCTCAAGAACCTGAAATCTTCTTTCCATTTGATATCTGTATATTCTGAAAAGGTAGCCATGTTAAGCACTCTGTTAGTTGAATAGAAGGTTGGATGTTGCCCAGTGAAAGCTCTGGTAGTTGCTATAGACTGCTGTCGATTCCAAAGATTTGAAAAGGTTACTGCAAAACAGCCTATGAACATCTAAGCTAGTTTGACCTTGAAATGAGAATTCACAGTTGTCTCTAGCATCTACCGGAACTGCTTTTACGAAAACAGGACTTGCAGCTGTCAGTTTGTAAACTCTGAAAAGATTTTAAAGCTCACAGCTGCCAATAGCTTATTTTTTAAAACTAGACCCATAAAGCAGTGCCAACTTTCTTTTATGTTTTTGTAACTTGAGTGACTTGATCTCCATTATAAACTGCCTTATGACACTATGTAACCTGAAAGACTACACAAGCTGCTACGATGACTAAACATCCCTAACCTTTTACTAAGAAACTTGTTGCTTTTCACTTTCTTTATCAAGATGTAATGGAAAGCTGCAGGGTTTCCTTAAACAACCTTAAATCCATTATAAATAAAATATTAAAGGTATATATTTTTTTTTATTGTGTGCAGCTGCTTTTCTTTAGTTATTGCAAGTGTTTGGTCAGATACTTGCCTGCATCACGACTTCTTTCCAGCCGTGGGCTACAGCTTGGTCATTGATAAGTGTGCCATAGCTTTCTTTTAATTGGGCCTTCATAGCTTGACAGAAGTTTCTGTGGTCCGGATTAATTTTCTATCTGGGTCTGTCCTTAACCATGGCAGCCTAGTAAAGCCTCTGCAATGATTATGTAGGAAGCAAGACAATGATGTGGTCAAGAATGACCGGCTCATTAGCCAATGAAAATGTATAGATGCATCTGGTGTTAATACAGCTAAATTGTTACTGTTCAAATTTATGAAATAAATGCTGTCCTTCTAAATCTATAAATGAGTATCTATAAACAAAAAAAGTAGTTCTTGAGACTAGGTTATTCTAATACCAGAAACTACTACTGTGTGATGCTGATTTTAAGCTTCCCTTATTGCTGAATTGTTACAGTTCCCAAAGTTTATATACAGTCGACTTGCAATTTATGCAGCTGCATCCAGCTTTGTAGTCCAGAAAATAAAATACTGGGTCGGGGGGGGGAATTCTTTATTCACTAAAAAATGTCAAGCATGCATAAGAGGTAGTGAGCCTGTACAGTCATCTTTAGTGTTTTATACTTATTTAATACCTTCCTTTACTATAAGAGGTTAGTAGGGTTTTTTTCTAAGGGTTATAGGGCTGAAGTTTTGCATCCCATGCTCCTCAGAATCCCTAACGCCCTCATGCGTTGTAAGCTGTACCAGTAATAGACTTGTGTATTACAACAGGCTGTTGAGCTTACTAACAGAGATCCAGCAATGGGCCTGATGTGGTTTCCTGTTAAAATGGTGACTCCCTTATCAGCACATACATTTTAAGTGTAGGCTGAAAAGACCACTTTATTGACTTTTACCTCATGAATGTAAGTCAGCTCAACCCATTACCATTCAAATGATGAATGAAAGCTGTTAATCCCTTGTAGGGTTTGCAGTAATGTCAAGCCTGTCTGGATGTTGTGGAGTTTGACTTATCTTTCCATCGCGTACTTGTTTGCCAGTTTGAAGTGTTCCGTGCATTACTTGTCAATCATGATTGCTTTGGTTTGGGTTAGGCAAATAAGAACTTGGCAGAATTATTGTAAAAATATGCAGGCATTAGTTATGTTCTCAGTTGTATGCTATGTACTTCAGATTTTTTTTTTTTACTGAAGCCGAAGCTTCTTCTTTTTTACGCTTCTGGAATTGACTACAGTACTAGCGCCCAAAATATTTTTCTAATTTGCATTTGTTCTTTTATATTTCAGTAAACATTCATTTGCAACATCTGAAAATCACGGTTGTAGACAAGACTGATTGGGACAACACATCAGATTTGATTGTGTACATCAGGATTTCACCTCTGGTTTTAACAACTTTACACCATGAAATAGTTTTGATTTAATTGTAGCACACTGAACAAAACATTTTGACCCATATATGTATTGCCAGTGTTTTGGAGTAGTTTTTGAGTTTCTAGTTCTTTGCAAAAATTGTATTACCAATTCATATAATGAAATTGCATGGGGCAGTGCAATGGCTCTGTTGCTAAGGATCTGTGACTGTGGCTGGAAGGTTGCTGGTTTGTATCCCACGGCCAGCAGAGGAAACCTACTCCATTGGGCTCCTGAGCAAGGCCCTTAACCCCAACTGCTCCAGGGGTGCCGTATGAATTGCTGACCCTGCGCTCTGACCCCAAGCTTTTCTCTCTCCGTGTCTCATGGAGAGCAAGTTGGGGTATGCAAAAGGACAAATTCCTAATGCAATAAATTGTATATGGCCAATAAAGTGATTACTGCTACCCAAGACGTACCTGTGTTAATTAGTGTGATGTGTAAAGGGTGCTTGGAGGTAGGGGGGTTTTAAAAGGATTTCCAAAAGCCTCTACTTGTGGGTTACTTCAAGGAACATCTTTGGTGTCTTAACTCTCCATCCGGTCATGAACATATTTTGCAGCACAACAGACATGGTATTTCTTCTGCCAGATTAGATAGATCACTTACAGTACAGTGCTTAAAGGCTGTGTTCTGAAGAATGACGCTACAGGAGAGTCCTGGCCCTCAAGGACTGCAGTTGAAATCGGTAGCCGTTTCATCTTAAGACTTAACAGATCTTAACAGCTGCATTGTTTATTATAATTGCAGGCTTCTATTTGGTTTTCTATTTGAGTCATTATAGAGATGCATTTATCCAGAGTTGGAGCACTCAGGTAAACCTCTTTATCTGTTAATATGAACAGGGTCACTCTCTTGTGTAGGAAGAGCTACTGTCCCATCACTCTTCTTGTCCTTGCCTCACTTTAAACACCTGGAGAAAAAAACTACAAAGGTTGCTTTCAAAAGGAGAAAAATAAGCAGCAACATTAAACATCTTTGACACATCTTTTTTTTTTTTTTTAGAAAATCACAATTTAATAAATAGTCTGTTAAAAAATGTGTACAAAAGATTTTTTTTTTTCTCTTTTACATTTTTTTTTTTAAATTAAACACTTCCGTGTCTATAGCCAAAGGAGAGTCTTTAGTTGGGTTGATGCCAGAACAATGGTTACAATCTGGTTCTGGTGATTAAGGCCCCAGGATTTTGGCAACAGAACAATCAGTCAGTCTCAAAACATTTTTGAGATGAAAACGCAGTGTCTGAGCTGTGCTCCCAGGTAATGTTTTCTTTTTCACAGTAAAATAAATGAATAAATAAAAACACAAAGCAAATGGCTCAACATGCAGGAAACCCACCCCACCCCCCCCACCAACCCCCACCCTATCTCCCAGACACCCCAAAACTCAGCACACGGTCTGTGTGGGTCACAACAGTACAGCACTGCTCTCAACACTGGCACTGCCGTTTTCATCCCGGCAAAATACCACTTACGAAACACGCATGAAAAATGGGTCTCTTTTGCAAATGCATTCCCAATTTGGGGATGCAAAATAAAAGTTATGTCTGAAATAACTGTGACACACACAGTAAAAGCAGGACAAGCCATGGTATTCTGACATTTTTTTCTGATGATATACTTATGTTTAAAACAGTTCCCTATTTTACATTAGTGCAATCCAGGATCACAAAAGGCTGAACCCATCATTGGTTTCTGGTTGGAACTCTCCTAAACAATCCCCCCATCTATGTCCTTATCGATCAGAAGATTTGCAGAACATAAAAGCAGCCTAACCTCATGATGATCAGATGATACACAGAACATTAAAGAATGAGTAATTGAAACATGACCAACAACTAATTAGACATTTTTGGTTGAATGCCTTTTGAATTGCAATACATCTTACATTATTATCTACAATGACAAGCACAATCCATAGAGCTGCTGTGATGTCAGTCAGCTTTCAGGGTGAACTTAGCTGCAGGGAAGCCCATTCAGGTATTTCACCGTGTCTCTTCAGAGATGATCTGTGAGTAACAAAAGCTGCCTTTGGCATAAGTGGGCCTGTAGTTATAAACCAGACCTCCAGGATCATGTCATACACATCACTGGAACCAGAAAACTGCTTCTTTTGACAACCAATTAAAATAATTCTTATTATATCTGTTTTATACTTGGAGCTAAGGTGGACATTGGACACACATCCCTAGAAAGTAAAAATCTGTCCACTGAGTGGATAAATTAACATACAGCCCTGTTAACTTAGTGTTTAACACTAAGAGGGCCTGCTTGTATTTCAACTTTTGTTGAAACTGTTTAGCACAAACTCGAATTCAGGGGTGTAAATTGAATTTGAATCTTGGAAGGTGCACTAGGACTTGTTTTCTTTGCAACCCAAAATATATTTGAACACCTGGAGTCCTCACAAGAAAGTCTCAAGTGGGTTACTCTCCTGCACCACCACAAAACAGTTTTTGAGATTTTGGCACAGAGGTTTTTATCAGACAAAAGCGTTAAGTGTTTTTGTGTTGACTTGTCACTTCAAAAAACACAATTCACTTCTGATTTTTTCTGGAGGAAATTAATACAATTACACTTTAGCATTCACCTTGAAAGTTTTAACTTTCACAAGCAGCACTGACCAACTGGCCTGTGATTCTCATGGAAAGTGCGCTTGAATTCTGTGCAGCAGGCTGTAAAATGCCAAACACATATCTTTCTCCTTTTCAGAAACAACACAGCCAACCATATCATCCCCATTATACAAAGGTGGACAAAACTTTAATGAGCGCATTATCCTTATTGTCACAAACTAACCTCCAACCCTAAACTACATCACTTCTTGAAAAGATATGAATATACCTTTATCCAGCCAGACAATATTTGTACAATCTTTTGTCTCCTGTTTCCTATACACACCTTTCCACCCATTTGGAATATCCTAGTGCCTTTAACATGTGTTGGAATACTTTCTGTAGTTTGTTATTGCTAATTTTATCATACTGAATTCAACATCTCCTTAACAGAAAATAACACCTGTAATTGATAGCCTCTACCTTTTTAAAATTCCAAAAGTGACTACATTTTGCGTATCTTTTTTTTTTACAATTTCACAATTTTCACAATTTTCTAAAAATTCCTCCGTGCTAAAAAATAAGAATTGTGATTTCTTATTTGCTGGTGTCGTTTAATACAGTAGCTGTAAATGTAATGAATGTTAAACAGCTGTTATGGGAATCTAGAACTGAGACAAAAGCTTTTCTTGTCATTAACAGCTTAACCACTAGCATTAAGCAGAACACTTAAATTAAAGCACACCTTTTGTTAAATGTTCAAATGCCTCAATGTTAAGACTGTTCCTCATATATTAATTATACTTGAGTCTGTTGTTTTGGACTCTTAACAGCTAGTTAAACTGCCAAATTAACAAACATAATTTCCTAATTTCCACAGCACTGAAACAAATCGTATACATCTACTCACTGCTGATATGTTTTCTCAGAAATGGAATGGTCCAAGTCCATTTCACTCCCCTGAATATTCACACATTCAACACCCAGGAACACACACACCTACAGTATGCAAAATCAAGTCACTGCTCTTCAGTTTGATTCAGAAGTTCCAATCTCACTGCTTCCAGAGCTCAAGTCTACAATGGAAAGACCAACAGAACAGCCATTACACTACTGTTACGCCTTCACCACAGTGACTGTTCCCAACCATTACTGAAAGGATGAAACTCTTAAATATTTCCTAATTAATTCCTCCGCAGATAGGAAGAAGCTCTGCTCCCAATGTATCTTCAGAAACAGACCACAGAGACACCTTTTGTAGGTTTCCATTTAAAACATTTTTTGAGATGTTGTCACTGAAACTGTCCCCTAATGTAAGCAGATTACATTATTTTACATTATAACAAAACTAGACTGGTGTATTTCCTTCATTTCCATTTCTCTCTGTGACTTTTGGAAAAAGGGGTGGTCCATTTCATATTCCTCCCTGATTGGCAGCTGGAAAAAAATATATCAAAGTAGATAAGCAGACATCAGATCTCAATTCACCACAAACTAGCACATTCACCCCACATTCCTGCAACACAACACAAATGCATTAGAACAGTCTTGACTGTAAATGAAATCAACACAAAACATTCCCCACCATTTCTCTGACTTCAAAGAGGCAGAGTGTTTTAGTAAAACTATAAGAAAGAAAAGCTGCACTTCAAAACATTTTCATTTTGTCATTTAGAGTAAATGAAAAAAGCCTGATAAATTCAAAATAAATGCATTCAAACATCAGTGGCATCAGCAATTTGACACTGGGAGCAGAATGGTAAAGAAACTTTCAGTTTCTTAGCAGATGCATAATAAAATATGGTCATTTTCTCATGCACACTCTGTTGATTTCTCCCATATTAATAGGACAAACTATCAGTGTCATTCCAAGTCACAGAAGTCACAACAGGCCTTTTTCCACATAGGAAAATGGTTGTGAAGTGCTCTACCTGCTGCTCTAAGAACCAAGTTACAAACACTGGAAGGTATTTTGATCATTTGCTTCAATTTCATTTAAATTTTGCATTACAGTATGGACTTCCCTTGTGAGCCAAAACCGTATTGTCTTAGAAGTAAAATACTTTCACATAATTTAGACGTCTTTACATTTAACATCAATTAGAGTTCAAAAGGTAAGTGTAGACTCAGGTTTTTGACCCAGTTAAAGTTTTTTTTAGTTACTTCATCATCTCATATTCCAAAGTGCAAACAGACTCCGAGTGGTGAGATTCAATGCACTATGATGGCAATATTCCTGTAGTGAATTGGACCTACACTCCGAGCCGTCTGATGAAAAGTCAAATGAGGGAATTCCATACTGAAAGCATTAATCTCTTAGCTACATGGATAGTCCCACTTTTTTGTAGTGTATTAAGTGCTTTTTTGGCATTTATTTTCAGGAGAACATATAAAAGTTCTATAAGTGAAAGAGCTGTGTTGATATTTAATTCCAAACAACGTTAAGAGATGGTAAAACATTTATAAAAAATAATTTTAAAACATTAAAAATTTTGAAAAGCAAGTGGTTGCCATGTAGAAATTGTTAAAATAGGGATTCAAAACGTCTGCCACCAAACTTCTGTCTCTGCATTCAATTCCCAAAAAAGACAAGTTTTCAACTGTCAAATTAAAACATACTGATTGGGAAGCTAAGCTGTTTGAGTGATATTTTACAGTAATTACAGCATAATAAAGCTTTTAAATAAATTCTGCAGTAAACGTTCCTGGAACAGTGGATCATTCAGTGCTTAATTGAATGGCAGGACGCCCCTCTTGCAAATTTGCTTTTTTGCAATTTGTCTATTCATTTGGGACTTAAAAAAGGTCTCCTTCCAAATATGAAAAGAATGAATGTTTCAGACATCAATATACATTAACAACCATGGCAACCTGCAATAACCTGTGAACATAATTTACTTGAAGCATAGGACAAGATTGACCGTCACTGAAATTCAAACATATCTTCTTATATTTGAATAATTTATAGGTCCAAGAAGCTTTTTTCCAACAAAATAGAAAAGGTTTTCTTTCAAGATCGCTAACTCGGTGCTGTCAAATATCTCCTTTTCACTCATTCGTTGTCTAATTGCCCCCGCTCCCCCTCCCCCACTGCCCGTACCCTCACATTCACACACAAACGCTACACCTGTTCATCCAGGATGCTGTTGACTGCCTCCTCCAGGGCGGAGGACGCCCGTGCTTCCTGCTTGTCCTGGGGGGAGGTTGGGCAGCGGGGCCCGGAGGCCAGGGGTCCCTGCAGCCTCTGCAGCTCCAGGATGCTGTCGATGGCGCTCTGGAGGTGCTCGCTGAGCGCGCTGTCCTCTGGCGAGGTGCTGGGCTCCTCCGCGGGACCGGGCCGCGCACGTTTGGCAGCCGGTGGACACGGCTCGGTGTCGGTGAGGGGCGACTCCTCTGGGCCACCCGGGTTCTCGGCTGCCTGTGTCCCAGCGAACCCGCCGCTGAACGTTTGAGGCTCTTGTTTGGAGACACCCGAAGGGGACTCGGTCACGCCCTGCGGGGATTCCCTAAAATCCAGGCCCCGGGATGAGTTCCCATTGGTAAGCTCCCCGCATTCCTGGTTTTTCCCAGCAGGGACAGCAGAGGCACAGGAAACAGCCTCACCCCTGGACTCACAGGCAGAGTTGTGAACCACCTTCCTGGAGCCGGCCTCGTGCTTAATGGTCAGTTTGAGGCCTCCTCGGCTACTGGATCGGTAGGTCTTGAGGCCGGGGGGACGATTGGAAAGCATCGCCCACGGTGGAGACGAGCTGCTCCCCTTCAAGGGAGGAGACTGGGCCACTGGAGACCTGGACTGGACCCCAGGTTTGTACAGGGAGGCAATGAAGGATTCTGTGAAACCAAGAACAGGTCAGCAGAGACAAAAGTTAAAGAAGTTTTAAAATATAAACAATCCCAGGATAAACTAGCAACAACTTTTGCAAACCTAATTTGCATTTTTGAGCTTCCAGCTGGGATGCTGGCTGTGTAAACAACGTGCTGTAAAATGAAACAGGCATGTACAAAATTGTTTTGCCTTCCTTTCATTTACATGTGCACTTTGAGCTATTTGCTATTTTCATTCATAATTCACAACACCAGATTAAACACCTGGTGAATGGGGGACATATGCAGCTCTCACTGATAAACACTCAACACTTCAAGAAGCCCTGGCCAACACAATTCCTTGTGGCGCTAATACACGTCTGCATGGCCTTCTGGGAAACGCCAGTCACAGGTGACGTGTGGCACAGCCCAGGCTCCTCTACTGGCAAAGTCAAAGTTACAGGACTCAACCGGAACTCTGAATAAACACCTTTACCACCGGAGAAGCTGAGCTTATAAAGCTTCTAAAGATATGCCTACTATGACAGCAAATTTAGCTAGTGGCCAGTTAAACCTAATGGTAAGTCAAAATCAACTTTTTTTCATAATCATAGTCATAAATCTAAGCCACATCCTTTTAAAAAAAGGTAAAATCACTCTCTAACGAAGAAAGCCCTCTTGAGGCATAAATTCATCATCATCCCATCCCTGAAGAAACACGGTCTCTTTTTTTTGTTCCAACTCAGTTTTTCATCCCAAGTGAATTGATTTCAGTTTCTTTTCTGGGGCACATTTTAAAATTTGTGTTAATTTCTTTAAAGGTCAAACAGAATATGCAATTAATATCAACCTACCAATTTCTGAGTTTCAGAATTCCCCTTATTCTGGTATTCCCTGAAATTTAACCAACTGAACCTCTACAAAAGGTAAGAAACACTCATTGATGGTGCCGGATACAGTGTCATTTTCACCTGTCTCTGACCATCATGAATTGGTCACCAATAAGAGCTGTTTAGTCATAAGTAAGGGCAAGAAAGTAGAGGAGAAGCTCTGTATGCTAAGGTGGAAACAGTACCCTTGAAGACAGGAACTTTGAAACTCAAGGCTGTGTGCAGAAACAAGTTACATAAAAGTCTAACCAAGCAAATTGATTAAAGGCCACAGTTAGAGCCTGAGATTCACTCAGCACTGAAATGAAAACCAACAAACTCAGGGGTCACAAATTGAAATATACCAGCTGCATGCTTTTTGTTCATCTTGTGAGACATATCCAGCACATTGAACAGCTCTTTGGGCACATTGTGGTGATTCTCAGAATCAAAGAGAGCAGAACTTTGGGATTCAATCCAGTTGGTACATAAAAATGTGTCCCCTAATTTCTTCTGTATTACACTGTGAAGGGACAGTTTTTCACATTTATTTGATCAGTAGCATAACACAACATCAAGCCCTGAGACAGAGTGTTTAGATTGACAGCACATCTTCATCCCATAACTACCAATTAAAGATTATGCATTAACAGTTGGACTGTCTTTCTGCCTCAACCTTAGCATTCCAGGCCATTACAGGATTTTGAACCTTCCTATTAGTTTAGCACTGCATTGATCCTTGATTGATCAATTAACCACAGTGCTGCAGATTATTTTGATAATTAAGAAGAAACTGAGTCTTCTGTTGAACAGCGGAGCTAACTCCAGCTCCCATATCTGTCTGACATCACAGACTTTCAGAGGTTTCAAGAGGTTTATTTATAGTCAAGAGTCACTCAGGCACAGGATACAATAAATCTCATAATATTCTTCCCACCAAGTATACTGTAGCATGAGTTTCCAAAGAGACGGGCATAATGTCTTGTCCCTGAATAAATTCCTATTTTCTGAGAGGAACAAAAAAGAGCCAGTCTAATAATACTACGACAAACATGAATGGTATTTTAAAAAAATCTGTGTTGATTGCTGCCCCCCTACACACAAAAATATTAGAGAGCGAATCAGGTCTCACCTGGGTCCAGTTTGGCTATCCTCTTTTCCTCACTCAGTGCTGCCCTCTCATCTTGCAGGAAGAGACGCTCCAGCATCACCATCTCTGCCGATGGACTCACCTGCTGTAAGGCAGACAGAACACAGTGCAGTGAGTGCACAGAGTCAGGGCAGGCAGAGCACAGTGTAGTGAGTGCACAGAGTCCGGGCAGACAGAACACAATGCAGTGAGTGCACAGTCAGGGCAGGCAGAGCAAAGTGCAGTGAGTGCACAGAGTCCGGGCAGACAGAACACAGTGCAGTGAGTGCACAGAGTCTAAGAAGACAGAACACAGTGCAGTGAGTGCACAGAGTCAGGGCAGGCAGAGCAAAGTGCAGTGAGTGCACAGAGTCCGGGCAGGCAGAGCACAGAGCAGTGTGTGCACAGACCCCGAGGAGACAGAGCACAGTGTAGTGAGTGCACAGAGCCCAAGCAGACAGAGTCAGAGCAGACATAGCACAGTGTAGTGACTACACATAGCCCGAGCAGACAGAAGACAGTGTAGTGAGCACACATTGGCTTACAGACATTGCAAAGAGACCCCAAAAAATAAAAGAACCAGTCAAAACAGACAGTACATTATACTATTTTGATCATTCAGGATGTTTTGGTCAGAAGGCTACTTGTGTCAGGTCTTCATAGTGTAGAACTGTTTCCTGTCAGAGTTCAAATAGCAGATGTAGCACATTTAAATTACAAGAGCAGCAGGGCAAGCATCTGGTGGCTGTGCTCTTTTTTCTTTTTCAGTCATTGACTTTCGATCAAAATCAACTTGCATTCAACTTATAGCAGCAGTAGCGTGTTCCAGGGAGTTAGAACAAGAAAGCATTTGAAAAGATGCTTTTCTAAATGACAGACAGGCAAATGGTAAAACAGCCTCAACAGCTCCAATCCATTATGAAGATTACATGTCCATATGTACAAAAGAGGTGAAAGAATATAGAGAGAGTTTGAAAGGAGACTGAAGACGTGACGGGGATTTTTCTGCTCTGCATTCATCCTGCCATTTTAAATGCTCTTTCTATAATTCAAACATTTCACTTGCTACCAGTCCCTGCTCAACTCCACTTCATGATTTTGTGCTTTTGCTAGAGATAAACATACAGGACTTTACCATTTTCAACCGCCAACAGCAGCCACCTGAAGCCTCAGCTGTTCAGGCATCACCTGCTACCCAGCCTTGTTGTTTAAGCCAATGTCCTGGATTCCTTGAAGAAACAGCTAGGTGAGATCCTCAGATCAGCTCTCATTTCTAGCCTTTCTCATGTTTGCTACTCCTACTTACCTCTTTCTCCTCTGTCAGATATTGCAAAGTCATTCTGGTGCCTCTCTGACCTACACTCAGAACAACGATGGGCTGCTGTGTAGAATTATGTAGATCTTAATGTATGTAAGTCACCTTAGATGCAGGCATCAGCCAACAGAGAATGAACACCAGATGTTCCAGATGCTGTCTTACCTGTGCCTCCTGAAGCAGCAGCTGGCGGTACTTGTTGAGCATGTCCTGAGTGCGTTTCAACAGCAGACTGGACACCACTTCAAACTGCTCGTCCACTGCACACAGAAGAGAGATCGCTGGTCAAGGGCTGGGATCTCAGGGCCACATGGTCCACCACCCAGAGCAATGTGGCTAGGGGGGGCACACCATGGCCAAGTGTTAAATGAAAAAAATCTCATCACAGCAAATTTGGACTAAATTCTTTAATCAAGAACTCTGATTACATGGTTTATACTGTATATCAAAGGAAAGGGTTGGTTAAAATATATAATTATGTTTAGAAGATATTAAGGTTGAACAAGATTTTTTTCCAGAATTTATGGATAGACCATATTTCTATTTTTTGTCATACCCACCCAATATGGAGTAGACAATTGTGTTTTTCATTTCTCAACAACAAATCACACACCTGCACATGTAGAGAATGAGTAAGTATTGGCAGTCTTGTGATCTGCCCTCTTTGAGCCACTCTTAACACATCGCCGGTATCGTGATTCTGTGGCACGGAAACCCAAAGGAGCCCTGGTCGACTTCTGCCCTCAGAAGACCTCAGTCAGCTGTGCACTGACTGGGCCACTCCAGAAGCTCTGGATTACCAGATCTCAGATCCTCAGGAAAAAGGGACCCTGCACATACTGTAGCTCATCCCAAAATCACTCAGGGCATGATTTTTCCAAAGTCAGTCCTAAGTGATCCCACCCTTAAATCACACAGACAATGCTCATAAGACAATGAGCAGATTCATAGATAAGCATTACCCATGCTTTTTTCTGTAACCTTAGTATAAATATTAATCTAGAAGGTTTGCATCAATCTCGCTAGGTCAAACTACCACATAAGATATATGTGGCTGATCCTTAAGTCTTAACATATTTTTCTCTGCTGCAAAACTGTCCCAGTTATTTTAAATGATAATCATACATTTTATGTTCAATGAAAATGAAGAATTATATGCCCACAGCTTCTCTGCAATGAACTATTTTAGTTTCTACAAAATGATGCCCGTAGGACACACAAATTCATGCTTTCTGTTCCTTTAGAGGTCATTTAATTTGAGAGTTTAAGAACAGAATTGTGCTGAACAACAGAATTGTACTTTGCCTGTTCCTTGTAGGCACTGTTGTAAGATAAGCTACAAATAAGCCTTTAAACAGCTGGTCCACCACATCAGTATTTCCCAATCTGTGGTCCATGGACCACTTGCGGTCAATGATAAGCTGCACAAAGCAGTTTCTACAACAACGCAGTTCTATTAATCTATCTGCTACTTGTGAATACAAAGCCTGAGAGGAAAAGTCATATGGAAAAAGATGAAAGCAAAATGAGGTTTCATATGATATTTCATAGTAAAATGAAAAAGAGTAAAGCAATTTAAATCGTACTTCTGACCTTCACTTAGTGAAAAAAAGTATAATTTTCAATCTGTGTAAGAAAGTAGCACACAGTTTGGCTCACCCACCCGGAGAAACTAAAAATGGCTATCATAAATAAACATTTCAGTTTTTACTCCTACATACAAGCATACTTGTGCGTACATTAAAATGAGTTTGAAAACAGTTTTGGGTGTCAACAAAGCATCCATGAGTGAAATCCAGAACTAAAGGTAGTGCCTACTTTAAAAAAAGGCTTGGATCCACTGCATTATTTTGCTATGTTTTAACATTGTTACAGGTGACTCAAAATGTGAAACGTTTTTTAAAAGCGACCTTATTCAGCAAAAGATGAGTTTGGTTCATTAATAGAAAAGTCAGTGTCCTTGGTTGTCATAGCAAGTTGGTATCCATCTTCAGTCAGGTCCTCAGAGTGAGGTTATTAGATATGCAAAAGGATGCCCCAAGTCGACACAGATTTCCTGGAACGCTGTCTTTTGACTACCGACAGCTGATTCCACACTGGAAAACAATGACAGGCCCATACGAGCCCTGACTCACCTCTATAAAAGTCCTCGGTGCTAGGCAGCACCCCCACGCAGGTGTGATAGGGGAGCAAGCGGCTCAGGCTGTCCTCCAGGGAGACAAAGGGAGTGCTGACATCGGGGTCCATCACGGAACTGTGATCCGAGCAGATCTGCTGCTGGAACCTGGGGTACAGACACACGACAGGGCCTAGTGAAAGCACCCAGCTCCAATCTAACAACTTTGTCTGCAGACCACAGTACATTTGACCTATGCCTGCTCTCAGTGGTATTTTCAAAAGTGTCGCAGAAAAAATACTTTTTACTAAATTTCTTTTTGGTAGTGATTATTTACCTGGTTGCAAACATTCAACTTTTGCTCAAACTGCTACATTTCAACTGGAATGCCACTTTGTGGCCTTATACAATGGTGTGAAAAAGTGTTTGTTCCCTTCCTGATTTCTTATTTTTTTGCATGTTTGTCACACTGAAATGTTTCAGATCATCAAACAAATTGAAATATTAGACTAAGATAACACAAGTTAACACAAAATGCAGTTTTTAAATGAAGGTTTTTATTATTAAGGGAAAAAAAGTCCAAACCTACATGGCCCTATGTGAAAAAGTGATTGCCCCCTAAACCTAATAACTGGTTGGGCCACCCTTAGCAGCAACAACTGCAATCAAGCATTTGCAATAACTAGCAATGAGTCTTTTACAGCACTGTGGAGGAATTTTGGCCCACTCATCTTTGCAGAATTGTTGGAATTCAGCCACATTGGAGGGTTTTCGAGCCCTATCCACTTTTTTAAGGTAATGCCACCACATCTCAATTGGATTCAGGTCAGGACTTTGACTAGGCCACTCCAAAGTCTTCATTTTGTTTTTCTTATGCCATTCAGACTTGCTGTTGTGTTTTGGATCATCGTCCTGCTGCATAACCCAAGTGGGCTTCAGCTTGAGGTCAGGAACAGATGGCCGGACATTCTCCTTCAGGATTTTTTGGTAGACAGCAGAATTCATGGTTACATTTACCACAGCAAGTCTTCCAGGTCCTGAAGCAGCAAAACAGCCCCAGACCATCACACTACCACCACCATATTTTACTGTTAGTATGATGTTCCTTTTCTGAAATGCTGCGTTAGTTTTACGCCAGATGTAATGTGACACACACCTTCCAAAAAGTTCAACTTTGGAGTGGCCTAGTCAAAGTCCTGACCTGAATCCAATTGAGATGTGGTGGCATGACCTTAAAAAAGTGGTTAAGGCTCGAAAACCCTCCAATGTGGCTGAATTACAACAATTCTGCAAAGATGAGTGGGCCAAAATTCCTCCACAGCGCTGTAAAAGACTCATTGCTAGTTATTGCAAATGCTTGATTGCAGTTGTTGCTGCCAAGGGTGGCCCAACCAGTTATTAGGTTTAGGGGGCAATCACTTTTTCACACAGGGCCATGTAGGTTTGGATTTCTTTCCCCCTTAATAATAAAAACCTTCATTTAAAAACTGCATTTTGTGTTTACTTGTGTTATCTTTGTCTAATATTTCAATTTGTTTGATGATCTGAAACATTTCAGTGTGACAAACAAGCAAAAAAATAAGAAATCAGGAAGGGGGCAAACACTTTTTCACACCACTGTATCTAGAGTATCAGGGTTTCAGTAAAACTAAACATGAAGTAGTATGTTACAGAATAACATCACCCTCTCAGATGCCCAAATATTTTATTTTTATCTTATCTTAGCTTTATATATTTTTTTAAAAAGTGCTAGAGAAATATATTAGAATAACCCAAATATGCCATTATTCTTTTCCGGCTACCGGTTAGGGGTTCTTCTATGGTGATCAAAAATTCAACTTTTTTATATCTGTGTATGGACATTTTATCACTCAGGATTTCAGCAAAACACTTTCTTTCACCTTCAGTTACTGACAGCAGCCTGTCTATTTAGAGACTCCATTCAGTTAATACATATACAGTATGGTTCACAATAATACAGTTATATGGTTATTGTGTTCTTGCAAGTAAATAAGCTAAGAAGAACAGAACATAGAAATCCTGATTGTGTTTTGGGATAAAACAAAACAAAAGGGTAAATAATGGGAATTTTAGATATGTAATTACTTGTTCCCTATCTATGATAACTTCATGATTTGTGTAGAACTGTATGTTTAATTACAGGCAGTTAAAGAGTAACAGAGTTGATGATGTTACCACGAATCACCCTAGATGTTTAGACAAAAATTCTCAAACACCCTTGTCAGTCCCCCCAATCTGATCTCCTTGGACTCTGACCTTTGTCTCCTGAGCAGAGTATTCACTGGTCTCTCCACGCTCCCTGTCTGGACTGGTGGCTGACAGAAAGACAAGGACAGGTTAAAATTTAACAGCTCATATTTAAGCATCTACACATCTTATCATGATGCACAGATCCTATCTCTGCACAATCCCAATGAAAATGGGATACCCCATTTCTTTAAAGGTTGTCCAATGTGTGCAGACCAATCCATGACCAATAGTTTCTCAACACGTTGTTTTACCAAATACTTTAGATTGCGTTACAAATATGTCTTAAACAGTTTAATCTTAAACTGGTCAATCTATCTACAATGCCCTTGTCTGTTTGGGGTGTTACAAATAAGCTCTCTTTTCAACCTTTACCTGGGTAAAGGAGGGATGATTTGTTCAATTTGCTAGCTAATATTCTATCAACTCTCGTGAGATTTGCATGCAGGGTCTGCATATTTTCAATTAGTTCTGCAATATTTCACCTAAGCTAATGGCTGCTAGAGACAACCAATCTTTCTACAGTGGGGTGCTTATATGATAATACCATGTGCAAAACATTAATATAGTTATTTTTTTCAATTTGTGATTTATTAAGAATATCAATCAAGGGAATGCAAGAAAACTGAAATACAAATTACGAAGTTTCACAACATTACATTGTATCAGTCTAGGTTATTCACAGAATAAGAGATTTGTAAACCCTGTGTATACAAAGATGCACAAATTTTTAATTATGAAATATATAAGAAATATACTTTATCAGTTGTATAAGTAGTAATAACACGACTTAAGTAACTGGTGATTATAGGCATGTGTATCAGTAGACTAGCATCTGTTTGACAAAGAGTGATCAAGTAAGTACACTGTACACATAACTGATTAAACCCCTGCTAATGAATGTAAGCATAATTTTAGCAACATATGTCGCTAATACAGTAAGCACCATGGACCAAATACCCAGATGTGGTCCAATTAGCATTTCATTTCTTACCAATATCAGCTGATATTCAGCACACCAAGTGATTTTTGTAAAGAGAAAATTTCATGTCTAGTACTTTTTTTATAACTGAGACTACTTCTCATTAAGTTCAGAATAGCAAATATTAACACAATGCCCAGTCATGTATTTGAATCATGAACATAATTATTTTCACCCTTTGCATAACATAGGTGTGAAAACATTTGTACTGTAAGTATCGAAAGACAGAAACTTGGGCAACCTGACATATTTTAACTACAGTATATATGAGCTTTCAGTGATAGTTCATGTTAAAATCAGGGCTTGCAATTCAAGAAAAATTAATATTAGCTGCGTGCAAGTCATTTTTTCAGTGACAGGACACATGTTAACACATTAATCCTGTACACTATGAAAGTTACAGGTGTTTTTCCTCTACTTATCTGTCTGATCACAAGAGTTCAGAGCTACCCGCATAAATCACCAGAAGCAACATTATGCCTTCAGACTTCAGAACAAGCAGTGGCAATATCGAAATACTGTAATATGTAAAAACATAGGACTTAACGAACGCCTCCAACTGCCCAAGAGATGAGTTTATTACAAAATCTCTGGGTGAAGTGGTGGCACTGTGGCTAATGATCTGTGCCTATGGCTGGAAGGTTGCTGGTTCAAATCCCATGGCTGGCAGAGAAATCCTACTCCGTTGGGCCCCTGAGCAAGGCCCTTAACCCCAACTGCTTCAGGGAGTGCTGTATAAATGGCTGACCCTGCGCTCTGACTTCAAGCTTCTCTCCCTGTCTGTGTGTCTCAGGGAGAGCAAGCTGGGGTATGCAAAAAGACAAATTCCTAATGCAAGAAATTGTATATTGAATATGTATCTTATCTTAACAATTCTCATGTGTGAGATTCTCTGTAAGTCTTGACCTCAACTGCTGATGCCAGCATTACAGTCATAATCAAAAAGCAAAGCATATATTTGCATTTTGAACAGAAAGACTGAAATAGCCAGATATTGCAAACGCCCCTGGAGATTTCTCATGTTATCTTTCTTTAAAAGGTTTAAAGACCAGATGCAATAAATATATTGACTTCTGGGGCTCAGCAGTGTGGTGTTATAGTGAACGTATGTGGGGGTATGATGAAGAATCAGGTTTCCTTCTCACCTGTGGCTGCAGCAGTGTCTGAATGAGTGGCCCCTGAACCGGAGGCCCCTGAACTTTCGGGGAGGCAGGCCGGAGCCCCAGGGTCAGCAGTTTCCCATCCACAGCCAGCACAGCGGCAGGCTCTGTCAGAGGAGACAGAGAGGGGTGTGTAAGACAGGGAAACCCACAAGGTCACAACAGTAACAACAGAGACTCTAAGCTGCTGTGAAGCTACATATGTCTGAACACTGATGTTCAAAAATGGATTTGCTCTGTTCTGTGTTATTAAGATTGTAAAAGGTTACGCATCTACTCAAGAAGCAAAGTATGTGTGGGAGACAGAGGTAATGCAAGTCATGTTTTTGAAGACAAGTCGGTGGGAAAATTAGATATCAGTCCATCGGAAGATGAACAGAAAAGAAAAAGCACATTTTACCACCAAGAATCAGAATTCTACTATTAACTACTACTGTCTGTCACAAATAAGTCCATAAATTAGCTTTTGAGCAGATGCCCTCATCTGTATCAACATAGAAAGAACAAATAATGAACTATGTGTACAAAAGAGCTAATTCTGCAATGCCTTGTTTAATATATTACCATAATGAGGTCTTATCCTGCCAGTAAAACCCTTTTTTCAGACATAACAGGGCTAACAGCTTGCCTCTAAAGGAAATATCACTTCATAGATGCTTAAATTCCACAATGCCTGAAATCAGTCTATCGATGCAGAAAGTTTCAAATTAAGTTTGTTTGCTAACTACCAAACAGACCAGATGGACCAAGAGCCTCATTCAAACCCAGGGTCTAGCCTCATACATTTCACTTAACCACTGCACCACTCAGACTAATGAACATCACACAGCATCCCTTTAAGAAGTAATAGAGAAAAGGGTAGATTGTACCATATCCTGAGGAATTCCAAAACAGGATTTTGTCTCTTCCCAGTGGGAGAGTAAATCGCATTGCAACAGACAACTTCCTCCAGGTGACTGCCCAGCCAGTAAAGTGCCCTTTGGAAACTAAGCGACCTGATTTTCAAGTCATGCTCATGTAAGCAGGTACTTTATAGGCATTGTGATTTTTGATGCTCTGCAGCCCTGAAGGACAATCACTGTCTCTAGGCACACACCGAACCCAACTTACAATGCTTTCTTGTAATTCTTAAGGTTTGCATAGCATCCTCAAGAAAGACCTATTTGGTTTGTTAATCACATTCAGAGAGCTTCTCTATAAAGCACTAGAGGGTTGGTGCCATCTATACATCCATCCGTCATTGTCTAATCTGCTAATCCAGTACAGGGTCATCCAGCAAGGGTTGGACACAAGGCAAGATACACCCTGGATGGGATGTCAGTCCATAGCAGGGGGTTAATACCATAGAACAGTAAAGAACAGTCGGATTTGTCCAGATCTGAATTCTGGTGACTATGATTGTCCTACAAGGTACGATAATGGAATAGAGCACAGGAATAACCTGCAGATAAATGAGGATATGAAAAGTGAAATAACCAGTTACTAAAGGAATGAGAGGAGAACAATTGGTCACAAACAACACACAAATACAAAACAAGACTGGCAAGGTTCTTAAAGTGAATAGCGCATGTAACAAAAAATGTTTTTACCACTGCCAATGTTGCAGATTTAAAGTGTTTAACAAAAGAAGTTATATTATAAGTAATAGGTTTATTCCATGCTGAAAAAAGAAGAAAGAGAACACAACGTTTCGGCCGTGGAGCCTTCTTCAGGTGTGAGAGAGACAGGGCAGTAGGCAAAGGTAAAGTAGCAGGAGAACAAAGGTTGGGAGGGAGGAGGAGTGAGAGGCGGGAGCAGGGGACAGAAAGAGAGGCCAATCAAGAGGTGTGAAGTCAGAATGGGTGCAAAGAGGTGTGAAATGAAACTTCCAATGAATGGAGAAAATTTAAAAGAACAGCAGTCTGTCGTTAAGAGAAGGGAGAATGTGTGTTCCTAGCTGCAGAATAATTTTAGTTTTGGTAGTCTTTCTGATGTACGAGTTCGGAAAACCGTCTTTGAGAACACAGACGGAGAGATTAGAGTGGTCGTGGCCGTCAGAGGTGAAATGACAAACAATGGGCTTGGAGAGATCTTTAATCTTCACAGCCCTGACATGTTCTCTGAAGTGGTCTCCGAGTCTCATTCCTGTTTCTCCAATGTAGATGGCTGGACATTTACTGTAAGAGATACAGTAAATAAGGTTGCTGGAGGTACAAGATGCTGTCTGGGTGATCCGGAATCCGGTCAAGGGAGCTGTGAACAAGGAGGTTACGCAGATTAGGTGGTCGGCGATATGAGATGAATCTGCGTAACCTCCTTATTCACAGCTCCCTTTACCGCCCTCAACAACCATCCACACCTGGCACTTTCCCTTGCCACAGAGCTCGCTGTATCACCTGCAAGTACACAGCCACCACCACACTCATTCAAGGCCCCTCAGGACAATTCCGGATCACCCAGACAGCATCTTGTACCTCCAGCAACCTTATTTACTGTATCTCTTGCAGTAAATGCCCAGCCATCTACATTGGAGAAACAGGAAGGAGACTCGGAGACCGCTTCAGAGAACA